GTTCAAAAGACTACTACCCTTGTAGATTTTTATCTTCCTGAGGGAAGATGGCCCAGTTCCTCAGACATAAGGAGCAGCCAGTTCCTCAGACATAAGGAGCAGCTCTGGAACTCCATCAGGAAAGAAAATGCTGCTACGTAAGAGAAGTTAGAGCCTGTTCCCTGGCTGCTAAAAAGGTAGTTAATGCAACAAGCGAACAACGGTCTTCCCAGATTTACCATCATCAAGGCCAGCTGGCAGAAGCACAGAAGGGAGATGTGGAGCAGAGCATGGACATAGACACCACCCCTGTGGCTGGGGAAGCTGCTGATGGAGGTCTTCCTCCTCTCTACCACCTGAAACTACACAGACACAGGCCACATCGTTTCCCTGGGTCAGGGGTATGTGAGGGCACTTAGGTTTATCTCTTCCCAAGCTGCCCATCTGTTTGTGCAAAGCCTGTAGGAATTTGGTTATCTTAAAATTTCCATCTCTAACATGTGGTTGAAATCAGGCAATAGGTTGTAAAATTGTCAAGGAGAGGATGAACAAACAGGAAGTCAGGCTTAATACAGATAGTCCGGAGTATGGTAATACAACTGAAGAGATGAAAATGTGTTTATTTGCTGGTTTTTTCCCCTCTAGAAGTAATTTGCAGAAACCCTTAGCAGAGGCCCTGTGAGAAAAGCCGATCTATTTGTTCAGGGAAACAGTCACAAAATAATGTTCCTCCCAGAGAACATGCCAAAATGAAGTCTTCCATAACAATAATTAACTCAAATAGAATTGCCAGCAGTGAGAAATGCTGCAAAAGAAGTAAAAATAAGTATGTGCAATTAGCAGTTATAAGGGACACTTTTGAAGCTAAGTGAGCTACAGCCACCTTTCCTCTCCCAGGCTAGGAGCCTGCAAAAGAAATGAGACACCTGACAACAAAACCTCAGTATTAGTGCTATGTGGAAAGAAAAGTCCTATAATTTATGTTTTTTCCACAAAAAAGGCATATTCCCACAAAAACACATGCATAAATGGGAAGCTAGTGGGGGAGGAATTAGTGAAACTGGAGAAGTGATTAAATAATGTGGTACGATTCCCCAAGGGCAAGTTTTGTTCAGAAGAAAAAAAAAAAATCACCTGCACAAATATGGAAAAAAAATCTGCTCAGCAGATGTTCTGTAGATACGGATTCAGGACAGAGAGGGTCGCAGACTGAGCACAAATTATAAATATCAAGTTGTCAAAAACAAAGGCAACTAGGCAACTTCTATCCATTGACAGGAGCGCAAATTCCCGATCTACTCAGTTTTGATACAGCCTCTGGTAAAGGCCATTTTTGGGTCAGGCTTGTCAAGAAAGAGAGAAACCACAAAAGAAATACAAGAGAAGACAAGCAGTTAATAAGGTGAGCCATGAGGGATGTGCGAGCTGATGTTGCTCAATCTGAAGAGAAGAGAAGGCAAGATTGAGATATGATATATTTGTATTAAATACAGAAACAGTTTCTGCAAAGAAAGAGGAAACCTATCCTCTACATCTGCGGCAAGTAGAAAAAGTGATGGACTCAAACTGCAACACGAAAAATTCCTTTAGGCCATTAGAACTTTTCTAAAGGGTAAACCCAGTGAAGCACCAGCCTAAGGAAGTCATGTTGTCTCCTATCTTAGGAGGTAAAGGAAAAAAAAAAAAAATCATCTCAGGAATTATCCAGCAATAGTGACGATGCTTTGATGCAAAGGGTCAAGATGATCTTTTGGAGCCTTTTAGGCCTCTTCTCCTATGAAGATATCGAAGTACCAAAAGTTTTGCAAGCAAGACCAGAAGCTGAAATATTAATCTGATCTTTTGCAGATCGAGGTCTTGCCAAATGAAATCTTTTCATCCCTGCTACTGATATACAACCTCTCTGAGGATTATTATTCAGATTTCTACCAAAAAGTCTACAAAAACTGCTGAAAGCCCATTAAGACAGCAGAATTCAAGCATTTATAAGTTAGAGACTGCCAGAACAAGGCACTATATTTAGTACCAACAGTTTTCTCTGTAGTACTGTGATAAGGTTCCTTCAAGAACAGTGGATCAGCCCTATGTAAATATTCTCAAGACGAATAAAACCTACTCAGCATCTTCCTCCCAGACTAGTGTCAGTCATGAAGCCATCAGTAGCTTTCGCTTTAGAGCTTACTGTCTTTTTTTTTTCCTCCCCTCTCTCCCAAGAGATGACTTCTGTACCCCCACTGCTAAATGCACACCCTAGAAGAGCCCTCTTGATATGTCTGAAGTATCACGACACATTACTCACTTCATGAAGAGTTATGACAACACTCTAAATTGCTACAATCACGGTTAACAGGTTTTTGGTCGAGAACATTCAGATTGAGAGCATTAAACATGTCAGTATTGGCAATTTTGATCCTTTTCAAGCACAACATTGGACAACGCAGTACAACGTAGAAGGCACCCCAAAGCAGGACGCTGTCAGGAGATGCTGTACGGTGTACCAAATACTTGCTTTCTGAATTAAGTCATAGAGTTGTCTTTAAGGGACAACCAAAAATTAAACAGCCTTCACCAAAAGCTAACAAGGAGTTAGCCAATGTCCTGATACTTGAACTCAATCAAACTGTCAGCTTTGCATTGCACAAGACTTGCCCATCCAGGGAGAATAAGCACCATGTTAGTAAATTCAAGTCATAGCTAAGAGAGAAAGAATGAGAGTCATGTTCGAAAACATGTCAGCTGAAGCATTAACCCCAGGGCCTTCCAGGACAGCTCTTTCATGAGACTGTTTTAAAACCTACAGTCCTCCACAAGCAGAGCAAAAAAAAGGTGACTGCACATCCCTTCAAACAGAGAGATGTGAGCCTGCTGAAACTCAAATTTTCCCCTTATTAATAAGGAAAGGTTTACAGAGAGTGCTTGCATACTTTTCACAGAAGATATAATAAACTGGGAAAAAAAAACAACCATGACAGACTACATGGTTAGAAGCTTGCCCACTTCATTTGCTCTCCCCCTACATGCCATCTACTAAATGTCACAGTCCCCCTTACGAACTGTACTTATCTTTAAGCCACTACTATGCAAATAGCACTCCAATATAGACTGCCTTGTCTATTAACTGGAAAAATTAAGATAAATAAGAAGCAGCAATGTTGATGAAGCAACTGATGAATTGTTGTTGATGAAGCAAGGACAGGGTAGTTCATGCAACTAATTGCTTTCATTGAGATGAAACCAGGTTCAAATCAAGGGAGAATTTAATTCTTCAGCAAAATACTTCACCTTAATTGTAACTCGTCATGAGAGACAGATAGAGTCTAAATATATGGATGCTCTGCCTCTGCGGCACCCACCACTCCTCACAGAACGGGTAAAAATTGACAGCTTTTATATTAAGAAATGAATCCCAAAATGTAGCTCCATCTCACATCTTCCTGCAATTTCACTCAGAGGTGGCTCAGGCACCTCCTAAAACTTACTTATCTGTAGCTTTCTCTGCATGAAGTATCTCCTTATGACAAAGATCATACAAACATAAAGAAAATGTACAGAACAAAACCATTTTCAGTCTCCTTGAGTGAAGCAATTAAATGTTTTCTTGCATTACGCAAATGTTCACTAACTGAAGAAAACTTGAAATAATTCTACAGTTAGAGACAAGAATAAGTGATTTTTCAGCTAGCATCTATAAAGAAAACAATAGGGAGTAAGTAAGGGAAACTCAGAGACCAGGTCAGTCAGGCTAGAAATAGGAAGGGTTTACATACAACCCTCCCTGCCTGCTGTGCCTTGTTTCCAGGCTTCCATTTAGCCCTCACTGTCCAAACTACAGCAAACCCTGCACAGTGCTGTCTGGTCCCTAGGGAAGGTTCTCATCGCCTCCGAGGACTGTCTGCTTCTCCGGGTAACCTCAGTCTCCCTGCACAAGCCGCAGGCTCCTGGCTGCCTACGGCATCTCCAACTCCCTCCTCCTCCCCTGCCCTGCTCAGCCTCCCAAAGCTTCTCTCCCCAAGCTGAACCCGGCTGTTCCCAGACAGCAGCCACCTCCCCCGTGATGCAGGCTCTGTCTTCTCAAAGACAGGCAGCACAACTGTGAACAGAAGTACAAAACAAACAAATGCTGTCTACTGCAGAAGTGCCAAGTTACTTTTTAATGAATCCCCCTTCGCTACAACGAAGTGGGCTGCGAGCTTGCTAAAGCAAGTCCCTGGTCAGGCCTGATACTTGCCAAAGGGAAGCATCGGAGGCAGGACACCAGAGATGCACAAGCTCTGCACTACCTATGGCAACAGGCATCAGACACAGAATCAGCCAGCTAATCCAAGTACCTATGCAGAGCAGCAACCTCCAGTAGAAAAGTTTGACACTATAATTTAGGTATTTGACATTATTTTAGAAATTATGAACGGGCTGCTTGAAAACAAACAAATAGCTAAAACCATCCAGTTCTTACATAATTTAACCTATAACCTGCTCAGATTTCAAAATGAACCACAACTTTCTGCATTTTCTGGAACTTCGCTGGTGTCTCTACTCCAGCTACAACAGCCCGGATTCCTGCGAGGACATCTGCATTCTCCAGCCAATCACCAGAGTAAGTTACAATGAAAAAGTACTTATGGCAATAGAAAAATAATATATCAAAGTTATGCCCTCACCAAATCAATAAACCCTGAATGAAGAGACTCAAGTGCTTTCAGAGTTCAAGTTATATTTGAAAAATCTAAACATCGTAAGATTAATTTCAACTCGGTCTATGCCAACACCCCTTTGGCACTTGTCCCTTCCCATTCACTCACATCTGAACTGGATCCCACTAGGTGTCTGCAACTGAGCAGGCTCAGCAGTGAAATGGCTGCGGACACAACACAAAACACGAAGGTAAACTTACCTCCTCCCTACCTTTGAAAGGAAAGCACACCTAAAATTTAAGGACCGCTGCCAAAGCGAGTGCATTATTGTTTCATATCATCAAGTTTCTGACAAGTTACTACAGTTTAAACATCCACAGCTGCTGATACCTGATCATTTTTCCAGATGCACTGAAAGCCCATGTCCTCTTGGCTTCCTGCACATGTGCCTCCTCTTCAAGTCAGATAAACCAAGCTGTTCTCCAAAGTTGCACCATGAGTAATGTTTAGGACAGTCCAGCACTGAATTCTTCTCTCTAGAAAGAAGAACAAGAAAACTCAGAATCCTATTGAACAAAAATATATTTAAATAAATGCTCCTGCGATCCCTCCAAAACATCCCATTAGCACACCCTGATGCTACGTGGCACATTTAAATGCAGCAGAAAACATCAAAAATTAAATATGCACTTTCAAAAAGAAGCCAGGAGTAGAAAAAGACCTGAACATATTTTAGTACATCCTTTCTTAGCACAGGCATATGCTCTATAATCCTTTTACGGTACAATTTTAATCTACATTAAGCAAGCAGCTCCAGTAAAAGGGCTCACAGCTTTCCATACTACAAAATTACATCATTCAGGATTGGATTAAGATTTTAAAACAACATACTTCAAGATAACCTATTAATGACTTTTTACACTTAATTTTATACCTAAACTCCAAGTTATCTGTTTTCCTAATTTTAAGCAAATTTTAGGAGAAGCATTCCTCCCACATATATACAACTCATAATACCGTTATTCTTCATGCTGCCAGAAACATGCAAGCAAAGAGACAACAAATACCAAGACTTCCAATCCTGAGCCTACTGCATCTTCTTCCCACTCCACAAAAACATGAAAGGATGCAAGACTTAGCCCAGTTCTTCATAAAATTAAAAATAATCAATCTCTTGGAATTACAGAACTGACTGATACCAGCCTTTAATGCAAGGACTAAACTAACTGGTCTTAAAAAGAGATTAGCTCTACCTGCAAACAGTCTTTTCCTTATATCCTTAATCATCACAGACACAACAAGGCTGCTACAACATTGAAGAAGGGATTCAGTAATACCAGCACAACTGGCTTGCCAGAATTAAGAGGCTTTAGGCAACAAAAGCTAGCTGGACTTGCAAAAACATAGGCACCGTGTGCCTCGTGTTACTCACCACACGCGATTCAGCTGGTCTCAAGACCACTCCTAAAGTTTGGGAAGCTCAGCATATTCATAATTTTTTGCAGAAGTAGCAGTAAGCATCTTGTATTCCCCTCCCATGTCAAAACCACATACTTCCATTTAACCCAAGATTAACTTTCAGCATTATTTTAAAAATAAGGTAGGAAACACCGTGAGATCTATAACAACAATCCTTAGTGAGAAAGAAGGTGCCACCAGCACACTTGCATAGGAGATAGCGATGACTATCGCCATCAGGAGCTGTTTGTTTTCCAGGGATTCCCTTCCCCCCTGCCCCGAGCAATGTACAACCTTTTCTGCTAGCTGGACATTCTCACATATTTAGCTATTGGCAGTCACATATTCTGAAACAGTCACTTTCGATGGCAACATCAGGAAAAAAAAAAAATATCAAAAGGACGGTTGTGAATTGGTCATTACGATTATACATAGAAATTAAGAGAATAACAGTTATACCGTGTTACAGGAAACAAACATGAAAATCCTGTATTTGAGAAAAACAGTTCTCAATTACAGAAGCTGAATAATTTCTGCTGAATATGCCTTAAAAACTACTGACCAAGGGTTGGAAAAAACAAGCCCTGCAAAACAAATTCCCAGCACTGATAGCTCAACTCGGCATACATTTGCTGGTCTTTCACCAGCAACACTAAGTCTTGTCGCTGCTGTCATTTCATTTTAGTGCTGTATTAGTTCTCTCCTCACCTTCTCTAATTTGCCACAGAACCCAGAAAGGTAATTCCACATTCCCAATAAGAGAAAAGCTTGTGAAGTCAAGGTTAGGCTACATTCAGAGGCTATGTTTGGGCAATAGCAAGGAGGAGGATGATATAGCAATATACTTGCACAAGAAAGTACCAATTTGCAACCACTGCTGCCCTGTATTAACCATTTATTTACAGAGTAATTTCCAGGTCAATCAGCTTCCTGGAGGCAATAAGTCGATATTGGCAATGACAGACACAGCTGGAGTAAATCTGTTCATCCATTTTCACCCCTCCACCACCAGCAGCAGAAGGTAATTCTGCCAGTGCTCCAAAGCTGTGCTTTCACATTGCATTATTTAAGCAAGCAGCGATGCTCCTTGTGGAGGGCTTCTCCCGTCTCACTCAACAGTTTGCAGAGAAAAATAAAATCCCCGAATCAGATAAGTCAGCTCAGCTCTGCTGTACGCTGCCTCAAGTTGAAACAACTGGTCATCGATACCAGTGTTAATCCACTAGGAGCTAGTCCCCAAGGAGTTTGACAAACGCACCCAGTCAGCAACTCACTGGCACCAGTACAGCAGCCACAGGGATGTGTCCAGCAAGTGAGATGGGGACACACATGAGCAAGAGTGAGACATGGCATCCAAATTTCTTAAAGTGCAGAGACCTGACCGCTCCAAAGCAGATGAACGTTCATACACCTTGTTACAGATCACGTCAAACACCTAGCAAAAAACCTTCTAGAAATCGGGAACTTACCACATGGGTATATGGTTTAATTCCTGATTAGCACCCTGCTAAGAACAATGTCTGTTAAGCAGTTAATAACTCCTTCCAGCAGAGGTAAGGAAGGATACTTTAAGATAAAAACCAGACTAAATATACATACATTTTAACAGGTTTATTAGACAAACTTTAAAGTTTATACTTTTATATATTTAAAATGTAAATATTTGCCTTTGTTTACATGAAAATTACATGGTGGTTCTATTAAATCAATGAAGAAAAGCCCCAAAAGCTAGTAATTACAATTTCTACCACTGTTCTAAGACAGGAATAGTGCCTGTAAACACACCCAGGTTTATTTCCTTGCTTAAAAAACCAAACACTGTAAGTAGATACTACAGATAAACAATAATACAGACTCAAGAGAATCAAAACACAAAATGGGAAAGATTGTATTTGATTACATTATAGTTTTAAATACAATTCACATATATAGAAGACAGCACATAAAATCAGAGTTGCTCATAAAAAACAGAGAGTCACAGAACGCCAGGTTGGAAGGGGCCTCAAGGATCATCTGGTCCAACCTTGCTTGGCAAAAGCAGGGTCTAGGCAAGACGGCCCAGCATCCTGTCCAGCCGAATCTTAAAAAATGTCCAATGTTGGGGAATCCACCACTTCCTGGGGGACATTGTCCCAATGGCCAATTGCTCTCACTGTGAAAAATTTTCCTCTTGTGTCCCATCAGAATCTTTCGAGTGCCTTGTACCCATTACCCCTCGTCTTTTCCATGTGACTCCTTGTAAAAAAAGAGTCTCCACCTTCTTTGTAGCCACCCTTTAAATACTGGAACATGGTGATAAGGTCTCCCCTAAGCCTTCTTTTTCAAGAGACACTAGATGCCTGAAGTTGGCAGAATGCCATTGGAATAAATTATTGAATTTCAGATTTAAAAAAATAAAATACAGCCTTCTAAGGACAGATTTTAAAACGTTTGATCACTGCTATCAAAGGTAGAAATTGTCAGTACCCCGGACGAGAAGGAGCTTCTGGGGCCAAAGGACTTTCTGCACTTCCATTTACCGGCACCTTTTATAGTATTCTATTGGCTTTCAACACTTGCTTTCCAGATTCGGCCTGAAAGATTTTATGCATCTATAAACCAATATAGAAGACAGCACAGTGTATCGCAGATTTAAGCTCTGAAAAATGCATAAATGCACTTACCCACTTGATAAAAACTGTTAATGTTAATAGAACAAATACAAAACCCAAACATAAATACTACAGGACTCATACAAACTGGAAACAGGGTTACAAAACATACTGCCTGATCGGATTTTTTTCCTCTTTAACATAATCATCATTTTTTCAATCTAATACTTCTCATCCTAACACAGTATCAGCAGAATTCTGAGTATCTGGATTCAAACGCTAACCCCCGCAGATAGATTTTGTTTGAAGAACTGAACAAACAAAATATTATTTACTTCAAAATTCTTCTACTTGTGGTGAAAGCCGAGCTGCACTGAAATCAATAGGACTGTCAGCAGCAGAGCTAGAATTTCATTTCCCCTGTCCAACTTAAGACCTGTTAAAGACGCTGCTAACCACCATAACGTGGCTTTGCACTCTCACGTTCACATCCATAGCTCAAAATAAAATGTTTTGTGCAAAATAAATACTTACGGGGAAGGTTGCATAAACAGCATGAAACTAGCAGCTGGAGCTGGCTTCTTCAGAGAGTAAACTTTGTCCCCAGCCTAGTTGCTCTGCCTGGATCAATGCTGTTCCTGTACAATACCCAGGCCTTGAAGCCTTGCAAAGTTCCTATCCCGACTCGGCAAGGTGGGACAGTTTCTTATTTTAACTGTTGGCTGATAACAGCTTATCAGCAAGTTTTCAAAGGTTAAACTCAACACATTTGCATGGCAAAAGTGCAAAGAAAGCACAAGGAAAATGTTGAATCAGTGTTCAGGTCCCTCCAGCAAGGGCCAGAACTATTTCATATTCCACAATCTGCAGCGCAGTCCAGCAAAGAAAGTTGAACGAAAACTCCTGTTGAAAGAAATCATAACTGAAAATGTCTTTGGAAGCCAATGAGAAAGCAACAAAAGTGCCTTCTTTGAAAGGAGGAGCTTGCTTTCCCTGCTACCTTCCCACTGTCTGCCACACAGGATGGAAAAGCTAATCCAAAATCTTTAAGTCTAGTCCTTAAATACAAGGCAATTTTATTACCATTGCCAAATTTATCCCTGACACCACAGCTCCATGATAACTCACTGGAAAACAAAAACCAAATAAAATCTTCGATTTAGGGCCTGCTATGATTTTTTATTTCTATCCCAAGCAAACTACTGAACTGTAGGGCTGATGCAACTTCAAACCAGAAAAAAAACCCAACAGTTACAGACTCATTACTAATTCATCCTGGCTGAAGCTGCATACCAGCAGCTGCTGCCTCTCTCAATTAACAGCAAATATTGAACAGTATTGTCATTTAACGGTGTTTACTGCCTGCTGCCCTGTCCGCTGTCACATTTTCAAAGCATTCTGGCACAATTTAAAGTATCAACATTAATAAACAGAGCTTAGTTTAACCCCTTATGTATCAGCAGAGTTCATAGCAGAAGCGCTTTACT